CATAGCAAGGTTTAAAATCATGAAAATATTTTCTTCATGATTTTATTAAAGGCAAAGGAAAGGATTTCATGGTTTCATGTTCCATGGATTTCATGGGTCAATTATGTGTAGACATGCACATTTAGATGCTAAAAAAGATCGTGTGTATGTAGACGTGTACATTCGGATGTTTGACACCGAGCATGTGTAGACGTGTATATTTACTACTCGATAAAAGATTGGGTATGTACAAACGTGTATATTTAGACACTCAGCGAGGCGCGTCCAAACATAGAAAAGATTTGTTTAGAAAGATGATGAAAAAGATTTATGGCTTGGAAAAGATTTTAGAAAAGACATAAAAATGATTTTCATGTGCATTTCACTTGTATACATTTGTATCATGTATGATTAACTTACTAAGCAATCGTTCACCAAGTTCTTGTGATGTAAGGACTAAAGGTAAAGAATAATGGCTATGTTCTCTTTCGAGTCGACTACTAAAAGATCACTCCCATCGATTCACCGAGTATATCTATCTATGGATATAAGCTAGACTCGCTCCACGTTATCATGATCTTAGTGCTTGGTATTTTGGCATATGTACTAGGTATGGTTTCTTTATTTTACATGATAATGAAAGTAATGAATAAGTAAGTGGCTAGTTAGTAATGAAAAGATAGCTTATAAATAAATAAACCACTTTTGTAGTAATGTGGTACTAAACTCGGCTATTATGTAAAATATAGATAGGTTGTACATCAACCAAATTTTGGATCTCGTCAACGATAATATAATAGTATAGTAGTGTGATTGTAATTTTCTTTAGTTAACTACTTGCATTTCAATGTGAATGATAAAGTGCACAACTAAGCCACGAAAAAAAATAAAGAAAGGATAGTAATAAAAGAATAAATAATTTAATGAGAAATGATAATTAATAAATGAAAAGATTAGATGATAGAATAATGAATATCGACTAAATAATTTTATTCTGATTAATAGAAGAAGAATTTGATGACATCGAGAGACATGGATCTAGTTATTTCAATCCAAACTATTTAAATAAAATATTAAAATAGAAAAATTTAATAAGTGCATTTTGAGTTGAATTTTGCATGCATAATAGGACCTATTTAACATTTAATGAGCTTACATAGTAAAAACCATATTTGATGATGTCATAGAAAGGATATAATGCCTTGAATCTTGCATTCACTATAAGGCACGATGATAATATTCTCAACTTATTTAGGTCTAAGGTCGGAGATGTTACGGACGTGGTATCAAAACACGATTTATTTAGAAGGAAAGGAAGGCACAAGTAAGATATACGGGAGATGACCTTCGGTAACAAATAAGTATGTTTGTTGATTGAAATATTATGATTATTCGAGTGAATGTGAATGGCATGATGATTTATTTTGATAAATTGTTATGCTTAAATGATGTATGTATGAATGATCGATTGTCATGCAAGCAAATGTTGTAAGTGAATGCAATATGAATGATACGATCAATATGAATGTTTAAGGAATTAATTGAATAACATAGTTTGCATTGTCTATGTATTTGAATTAAGAGAGAGAAAGAATGATGCTAAAGAGCATTAGTAATAATACTCTTAGTAATGGCATGGATCCGAGCTAGTCGAGAACGGATCGAGAAAAGGAATTAATGGAGCTATTGAGAAGGAAATAGGGAATAATGGAACATTAATAAGAAAGACATGAGCAACACATGTAAAGGATAATGGAAGCAAGTCGGCATGGACCGATTGAAGCATGACCACCACAACGGGTCGAAGTGGTATAACACTTCCAAAGGTTTAACCTAAAGGAATTTAGGGATGGTCCAAATCCCACCATTGTAGAAGAATGGGTTAAATCTATAAAAGTTATTTTTTAGCATTTATCCATGAGTGACGTAACTCTTATAGTGTGTGTGACCATTATGCTGGTAAAAAATACTCAAAATTGGTGAGAGTCAATGAAAGTTTCACTCGATGTGCCACGACTCACATGGGACTAATTTAAGGAGATATTTAACGAGAAGTATTTTTTGGATATAGCAAGTCCTGGAAAATTCAACACATGGGTGTCATTATACTACTTTTATTACTAAGAATGAGGAGCAAAGAAGAAGTATTTTCTCCATATATTGGAGGTAGAAATTAGAACTTTTGTCCAAATATCTGCAGATACCTATAAGGATATGGTGAAGAAGGCATTTGGAATTGAGATAGATAAGAGGAATGTATATGAGTACCTTCGGTATAAGTAAATAAGGAAGTATGCCAAATAATTTTCTATGCCAATCCAATAGGAAAAGGCCTTTTAACCGGAATTGATGCACTTGTAGCAAGAAAGGGAAGGATCAAGTAAGGCCATAAAGGACATGAGTATGGGGCATATCGAATTGCACTAAATGTGATTCGCCCATATATATGAGATCACTTAATTGACACGAACATGTGCTATTTCTATCAAGAAGCATGACATTTGACGATCAACTATTCGAAGAAAAAACCAATCGAAGGACGATAAGTTCTCAAACGAATGAACATATAAGAAGGCGGACAAGGAACACACTAATGTCATATGTGATAATTTACTAATCTCCGGTCTTACCGCAAATACAATGGTAGATTCAAATGCTACACATTCATTTATTACACAATCACTCGTTACGACAATTAGGCTTGACACCTAAAGTGTTGAATATTGTTTATGAAGTGACACTCCTATTTAGAGAGTCGCTGGAATCAATCGTCATAATTAAGGAATGTGAAGTGAAAATTAGAGATCACATTTTATATGTTAATCTTATAGTCTCGGCCATTCAAGACTTCAATGTCATTTTGGGCACGATTGCTTATCTAAAAATAGGGCATTGATTAATTGTTTAGCTAAGAAAGTGACATTCCATCCGTTGGGTGAGCAACCCTTTGAGTTGTAAGCTAGAACTAAGATAAGACATGTGACTATAGTTTTAGCCATTATTGCCTAGAAAATGATTAAAGGTGGATGTATGAGCTACCTAGTACATATGGTTGACACTAAAAAGGAGGGGAACGCAAAATTAGAAGACATTGAAGTGGTTAAAGATTTTCTAAATGTTTTTTTTTTTGAGAGTTTATCAAGATTACCTTCGAGGAGGGACATTGATTTTGAGATCGAGCTAGAGCCAAGAACAACACCTATATCCGAGGTACCATACTGAATGGTCTTAGTAGAATTAAAGGAGCTTAAGGCATAGATACAAAAGCTACCGGATAAAGATTACATTCGACCAAACTGTTCACCATGAGGAGCAATAATATTATTTGTAAAGAAGAAGGATTAGTCATTATGATGGTTTATAGATTATAGAGATCCGAATCGAGTGACCATTAAGAATAAGTATCCACTTTTATGGATTGATAATTAATTTATTTGATTAGCTACGAGGAAGTTCGGTATTCTCCAAGATCAACCTCTAGTCGAGTATCACCGATTAAAGATTAAAGAGGAGGATATGAAAAAAAAGGCCTTTAGGACTTGATATGAGCATTATGAATTTATAGTAATGCCTTTTAGGTTAACTAATGCACCAATAATATTCATGGATTTGATGAATAGGGTGTTCGATGAATACTTAGATAAATTTATAATTGTATTTATCGATGATATCTTGATATACTCAAGGAGTCACCCGGAGTATGTGGAGCATTTAAGGAAAGCATTGCAAACCTTACGAGAGCATAAATTGTATGCAAAACTTAAAAAATGTTCATTTTGACTTGAGCAAGTGACATTTCTTGGACACGTGGTATCCAAAGATGGGATCATGATAGATTACATTAAAGTGCAAGTAGTACAAGAATGAAAACAACCAAAGAATGTGTCAAAAGTAAAAAGTTTTCTTAGGATGGCAAGCTATTACAAAAAATTTGTAGAAGGATTTTTCTAGGATAGCCGCGCCTCTCACTCGACCGATAAGGAAAAATGCTAAGTTTAAGTGGGATGATAAATGTGAAAGGAGTTTTTAAGAGCCAAATTTTAAACTAATTACAACCCCAATATTAGCACTCCCAAAGGATAATGAAAATTTTATGGTCTATACCAATGTCTTTCAAATTGGGTTGGGAGTAGTCTTAATGCAAGATGGAAATGTGATTGCATATACATCTCAACAGTTAAAAGATTACGAAAAGAATTACCTCACACACGTGAGTGTGTGTGTGTGTTTGCCTCACATATATTTAAAAATGATTCTTTAAAATAAAAGAATTTACATAAAATTATAATGCTCATACAATTATGTTAATAGTTAAAGGAATATTGAATAGAGTTTTCATTCATATATTAGAATTAATTTTAACATATTTTTACCAATACACATGCTAAGCATTGCATGTGCTAAAAATACTAGTTACGACAAAAATAAGATTAAAAGGACGTACATAAACCTCCATGCTATTATTATTTTCAAATTCATATATAGATAGGAGTAAATTATAAATCAATCCTTTTAGTTTTCCAAAACAAATTAAATAAGTTTTTTTTTTGTTTTAAAAAATAATTGATTAGTCATTTAACTAGTTTTCTTTTTACTTACATGCCGAATACAAATATCTAAAGTTCTCAACAAAATTAGTTTGCTAGGATTCTTTTTTCGATAATCTTTTCATATTTTTTACTTTTTTTTAATTTCTTAAAGAAAAAAATTCTATTTATTAAAAAAAAATGAAAAGATTAGGCTGCAAGTAGATTTAAAAATATCAGAATTAATTAATTATTTTTTAAAACTAGATGGATTATTTAATTCATTTGAAAAAGTATAGAGAGTAATTTGTAATTCACTCATATGGATGGATTTGGTAAGGGCCACGTAACAAGGCCTCTAAGATGCAACCCGATCCAAATAGCAAAACCCAAACTCCGCAAGCACAGATAAAGATAAAGTCCAGGCCAGCCATTGTATTTTACAAGAGCAAAACCACCAAACCACACAGCACAGGGCAGTGACAGCAGAGAGAAATGGGGAGGAAGAAGGGAGTAGCAGAGTTTGAGGAGTCACCTCCAGATGACTTCGATCCATCGAATCCATACAAGGACCCAGTGGTTATGCTGGAAATGAGAGAGCATATTGTTAGAGAGAAATGGATAGACATAGAGAAAGCCAAGATCTTGAGAGAGAGACTGCGATGGTGTTATCGCATTGAGGGAGTTAATCATCTCCAGAAGTGTCGCCATCTTGTCCAACAGTATCTTGATTCTACTCGCGGGATCGGATGGGGCAAGGATCAACGCCCTCCTTGTCTACACGGTATTATCTAGTAATTTGCTTATTGTGTTGTGTTTTGTTGGTTTGGAATGATTTTAGGAGAAAAAGAGTGATTCTGTTTTTTGGGTTTAATTTATTGATGGGTGTTTTGAATTAGATCCTAAGGTGGAGGCAGTAGCTGAGTCTGAATGAATCCTTTTCAGTATATTCTGTGCCTGGTTTTATATTAAGGTATGCTTGCATTTCAAATTTACTATGTTTTAGCTCTGTAATGTGTACTATCTTTTAGTGTTTTGAAGGGTAATTATTTGTGTAATGTCTTAGTACAATGCGGTTTTACTTTCAGTAATAACTAGGGCTTAATTTAGGAAATTGTGGATTTATTTTAGTCTGCTTTGACGTAGGATGAAAATGATGGTATGTACTTTAGAATGATTGTGTATAGTGGTAGAAAGTAGCTTGTTTTAAGTTCCTTTTAAAAGATTTGACCTTCATATAAATTTCAAGTTAGATACATTCTTGTGTTGTCTGTTAAGTGGATTGTTTTATCTGTGGGGATGCAGTAAAGGTTAGTGATCTTTTCAAATTGATTCTGGGGCAATTATCTGGCTATCCAAATATAAAGCAGCATGAAGCATGATGCCATAGAATACAATGCTAATTTTCTTTGATATTTTCTCTGTTACAGTGGTCCACGTCTCCTTAATGATGTTACGTTTGTGGTAAGCTGGAACTGAAGTAGTTTGGCTAACCTGATAATAGGAATTAATTTGTAATGGCTAGAACTTAGCTTGTGGAGAATTTTGAAGGGAAATTTAAGAGACACATAATGTGTGTATGCAAAGTCTGAGAAACAGGCAGGGTGTTTTATTAAGAAAAATAGATGGGATTGTTCCTTCTCAATTGGTCTTGGGTGGACAGTTCATGTATGTGCTTAATGTCATCACTTGTTGGAAATGAAGGGTCAATCAGTTATTAGCTGTCTAGGGTTTCAGAGAGAGGTATGCATTGTGGTTGATGAGGGTGTCTGACGAGCTAAGCAACAACTGTCTAGAATTTTACCATAATTTAACATAGTATCTTGCTTATGCTTGCCATTTACTTTTAACTAGATTAGATTTTGTTGTGTTAGACAGTGAGCTGAGGGATAAAACAGCTATATTTTGCAGGCTTTACTGTGGATGGGGTTTTTATTTTACTGCATGTGGCAGGATTCTAACCTAAGTTTCTGGTTTTTGGATCTCAATGAATTTTGATTGAATAAGATCTAATTTTTCGAAATTCTTAACAGATTTGTCTGAAATGTTTATGGTGAAGAAGAAAGGTTTTGCTGAGATTTGATTTTTGTTGCAAAGTATCTGGAGATGGATCATATAGGTGTGGTTCAAAAGGAAGGGAGGAATGTTTGTAAGTTGGGGGTATGGAAATATATTAAAAAAAAATAGGTGATCTTTTCCCTTTCTGAATTTTAAAATGGGATTTGTGAAGAGGTGCTTTTGTTTTTTATTTGGAGGGGGAAATGGGAAGGCTTATGGCTGTTTTTCCAAGTACTCAAACTTTGAGTTGGAAAGGGAGAAAACTTGTTTTGGTGTGCATCTCAACGAGGAAAATGTTTCTTGAATGTTGTTTTTGTCAGAACTGCCAATGACGGGAAAGCTTGAGGCTTTTGACTGGGGTTTTGGGCTAGTTTACTCTGTGGTTGTTAATGAGAGAGATTTTTTGTATACTGGCTGCTTGTTTATCATATAAATAATGGGCACTAATTACTTTAATTTATCAAGCCAAAACAAAACTCTTAAAAGATTCATGAACTGACAAAAGAAAAGGTTTCTTGTCACTACATGAGAATCATTATCATCACAGAATTTGTCCTGTGGTTGAGATCCTTAGTGCTGCATGGCATAAGATGGTTTGGTAAAATTTACTCAACAGAGCAGAAGGGATAGTGTCTTGTTGGCAGTGTTATATGCCAGAGCTCGTTTAGTGTCAGTTGGCTGGCAACTTCTCCATTTGGAGATTTTGTTGGCATAGCATTATCATTATCACAAATGTATTTTTGATAAATTACAATTTGCAGCTTTTTGAACTTTATCCTTATGTGTGATTAAGCAAATAGTCCAAAATGCCAATGTGGAAAACTCAAAATACTGCCCTAAATTGTTGCGTCATTAGTTCTGTGGCTGTTTGGTGCTCTCTATCAGTATCTAGTACTCATCATGCATTTAGAGTCTAAAAAGTTGTTAAAAGAGTGCAACTGTTTTTGCTGTCTAATTGAAATGAATTTGTATTCTTCTTGTTATTTGGTTGTAGCTACAGTGTTAGCGCTTTGCATTTTAAGAAATAATATACCATTCAGCTTTTTGGAAAGTTAAGGGGGAGAAAAAATTCACTTCGTTTTTCTTTTGGAATTTGTACATGTAAATGTCCGTTCGTGGTGTAGGCTAGACACGAAACCACAAACACATTGCCTGAATGGGCAGTGAACAACTATGCATTGTCTTTCCATTTTTTCCTTGGCTATTTATTGAAATGTATGTGTTAATCTCATCATGACTTATTAAGGATTTGATAATATATCCAATGGTTTAAGATACAGTGACTTTGTTGAGTTATCGAGGTGGTGACTTCTTGAATGAAGTACTTGTAATGATGCAGGGCAGCTTTGGAAGCTGTTCTGGTTTGGAGTTTCAGGCACTGTTTAGGGCCGTGAACGTTGTTTTGAGGTGTAGTAGGTTGAGTTTTGGTGGTTAACTGCTTTAAGATTGAATGGTATGAAGGTAGGGATGGTCTGACTAATGGAGATCCGTTCACAGCAGTTGGGTTGATTGTAAAAACTACTAGAGTCACTCAAGTAGAGTTTCTTGGAGCCAAACATACAGGATAGAAAACCTAAGCTTCACACCTAGTGTTGCTAGGAGTCCAGATTGGGTCACACAGTCGAAAGCAGAGTTGCTGGAATTTTATTCATAAATTGATCCTCTTGAAAATAATGCCTTACATATCTTTATATAAAGTTTCTAATAGACCAAGCCTAACAAGGACTTGCTTTCCTATAGAAGGAAATACTAATAATCTATGAAAAATCTATTGAAGCTGATTACTTTAGCAGTAATAAAATAGAAAATAAAAGCAAACTAGAAAGCTTTCCATTTTTTTTCCAGAAAATATGGAAATCATAAAAAATGGCCTTGTCTATAGAAATCAAAATAGAATACCATAATGTAGCTTCTTTTGTGTCATCTGCATCATAAAGTACACTAAGAGCAAGATACGAAGTTTGAGTTTTTGGATTTTGGCAAGAAACAGGCGTGGATCCGGTGCAAAATCTGGAGTGTTGGTGCAACTGATATTGTCAAATAACTACTTTATACTGTGGGAGCATGCTAGAATGTTTGGTCATTGTTGCAGAGTTTCTACCTGTTTCAAATGCGTTGCAAAGACATTGTGGTCTAACTAAATTTTATAGTTAAGAGTGATTTATCTGAAATACCCCTTCCTGATCCAAGTAGCTTGAGATTTAACAATCTTGGTTGTGTTTCCCTTATACTTCTGGATGGGTAGCTCTACCTAGTTAGCAGCTCCTGAAAATGCCTCTTTATTTTAATATTTTTTAACGGTGTAGGGTTCTGAATCTGTTGTACTTGTTAAAGCCAGTCAAGAAGTCAATTTTCCATGGTTTTGAGTTATTTTTGCTTCAAGTTTCTTATTGTTAATCTACTAGGAGTTGCCACTGGCTTTGCAAAAGTATAAAAAATGGAAGATGATAATGGCCTTGTCAAAACCAAGAGGAAAAGGACTGATATTAAAAAGAGAGGGAAGGTCATGCTAAATTAGAGTTTTTATGCTTAGTTGTTGAATTAGTCAACTGTTTATTCTTACATTGTTCTTCGGCTGAAGCTTATCTTTGGTCAAGGCAGGAAAACAGATATTTGGACTTTATGGAAAGAAACATGAGCAGGATGAAGTACTTACATCATCATTATACTGGGTCCTTTGGTCAGCATAAGATTTATAGTGCTAGAATTACAGTTCTGTTTAACTTTTTTTGAATGAATTGCTAGAATCATAGTTGGAAGATTTGTATTTTAATGTGCATGGCACCTTCTTATGGCCTTTAATATATGTCCTCTTTTATTTTTTCTCAAGGAGGGAGTTGGGTGGGAGGTTGTTGTTGGGTTGTGAAGGTGAGAACCACTAAAATGTTAGTTAAACAGCCTTTCTAGCTTAATAGTATTGGTTTTAACCTACGGCCTCTTTTGAGGGATAGCTTGTATATTTATATTTTGCTTAGGCTGCGAGCAATGTTGTGGCCATTGACTCATGAAAGAAACTACCTCTAATCTTCAAATAAGGTATGGACTGAAGATTTAGACGATCTTCTGAGATTGCGGTCAGTACAATTGACTTCAGCATAGCTATACCTCATTTGACGCTTGGAATTCATAGGATAAGGTAGCAGGTTGAGGTTTTTTTTTTTTTTTTTTTTTTTTTTTCAACTAATGCAAATTAGTAGATTGTTTGATAAATATCACATTGACATAGGATTCAACATCTGTAGCATCCAAATCTAATCACTTGGAAATTTTAGTTGATTGAACCTTAAAGAGAATCTGATTTGATGTGCTCAACTTTGTTTGTGTATTTATGATGTCAAACAAAGTTAGTGATAGTTAATGAGGGAAACTACATTGGTGATTAATATTTGATTGGTTTGAAATTTTAATTTCATTTAATTATTCTACGTTTTACTAGTTTTTGAAATTTTATTATTATTGTTCATGATTCAGTAGTTAAAGCAGGTGCCACAAGAGTCTAGTTTCTGGTACCCAATGGATTTAGTTTTTTCTTTTTATGGTTTAATTTCCTAGTCACTACCAGGATTTCTTATCTCCTTTTCTTTTGGTGCCTACAAATAGTACTTTAGTTAAACATTAAAGTTATGCCATGCTCTTTATGTTGATTGATCAAATAAATTAAGTTTTTGGAGAACTGGTTCTAGTGAACTTTTGGTTGTTTTTATTTATCCATTGGTTTAGTATCAACTAGCTTGAAGGGACATCGAGAGCTGGGATCTTACATTCATTATGAGGAGAAATTGCTGCAGCAATTTTTTGCCGGATCATGGGTAAATTGTATTGTTATTGAACTGAACAAAGAATCACCTCAATAATAGTGTATGGTGTACTGGTAGATGGGGTGGTTGGGGTTGGGTTAGGCCTAACATTTAAAATACACTGATTGAAGTTGATCTTGTTGGTGTTAAGTGTAGTTAGAAAGGATTCTAGTAATTTGGGAGTTTAATTGAAGCCGAATGGATAAACAGGGTACAGAATCAAGAACAAAAAATTCTTAATTCTGGTCAGAGTTCAAATAGTACTGTTGATAATGTTAACGTGTCACTTCCTCAGTTCCTCCTGTTTTTGTTTTTTTGTTTCTTACTCTAGGAAGGAATTTGATTCCAAACCACATAATTTTACTTGATAAATTTGTCTATTTTTTTGTCATATGTTGGGGTCATTTTCTTCCTATTATCTCATTTTGTCAGCCTCAAATGAGAAATTCATCAATAATTTGCTGGTTTTTGGTTTTAGAAATGAAACAATTACAATTAGGTTGCAAGCAGTATTGTGGCCTTTGACTCATGAAAGAAACTACCACTAATCTTCAAATAAGGTATGGACTGAAGATTTAGACAATCTTATGAGATTGCAGTCAGTACAATTGACTTCAGCATAGCTGGACCTCATTTGAGGCTTGGAATTCATAGGATAAGGTAGCAGGTTGAGGATTTTTCTTTTTTCTTTTTTTTTTCTTTTTCAACTAATGCAAATTAGTAGATTGTTTGATAAATATCACATTGACATAGGAGTCAACATCTGTAGCATCCAAATCTAATCACTTGGAAATTTTAGTTGATTGGACCCTAAAGAGAATCTGATTTGACGTGCTCAACTTTGTTTGCGTATTTATGATGTCAAACAATGTTAGTTATAGTTAATGAGGAAAACTACATTGGTGATTGATATTTGATTGGTTTGAAATTTTAATTTCATTTAATTATTCTACATTTTACTAGTTTTTGAAATTTTATTATTATTGTTCACGATTCAGTAGTTAAAGCAGGTGCTACAAGAGTCTAGTTTCTGGTACCCAATGGATTTAGTTTTTTCTTTTTATGGTTTAATTTCCTACTCACTACCAGGATTTCTTATCCCCTTTTCTTTTGGTGCCTATAAATAGTACTTTAGTTAAACATTAAAGTTATGCTCTGCTCTTTATATTGATTGATCAAGTAGATTTAAGTTTTCAGAAATTGCTGCAGCAATTTTTTGCCGGATCATGGGTAAATTGTATTGTTATTGAACTGAACAAAGAATCACCTCAATAATAGTGTATGGTATACTGGTAGATGGGGTGGGTGGGGTTGGGTTAGGCATAACATTTAAAATACATTGATTGAATTTGATCTTGTTTGGTGTTAAGTGGAGTTAGAAAGGATTCTAGCAATTTTGGGAGTTTAATTGAAGCTGAATGAAAAAGCAGGGTACAGAATTAAGAACAAAAGATTCTTATATTCTGGTCAGAGTTCAAATAGTACCTTTGATAAATTTAACGAGTCACTTCCTCCTGTTTTTGTTTTTTTGTTTCTTACTCTGGGAAGGAATTTGATTCCAAATCACATAATTTTACTTGATAAATTTGTCTATTTTTTTGTCATATGTTGGGGTCACTTTCTTCCTATTATCTCATTTTGTCAGCCTCAAATGAGAAATTCATCAATAATTTGCTGGTTTTCGGTTTTAGAAATGAAACAATTACAATCATTATATACAGATATTCTGAATTTGGAAAGTTTTGCTTAGCATGGCATGCACAGATATTATTTCGTTCTGGTATCCATGGTGTTTTTATGCATTGGAATTAAGAGATAACTAAACAGGTACCGGTAGGCTAAATAAGCTCCCTTCCTTCTTGCAGGAGATGATTTTGGCAGCAGGTTGATACTGGAAGTGGAGGGAAGTCAGGCCTCTATATTAGCTTAATGCGTGGCTGTTTCTCGTTATTTGACTCTTACCATCCATAGTTTCTTTATTACCTTCCCTATAATGTGCAGAGGCCAGGTGTTACTTGGCTTTGGCTTTCGCCTTCCATCCTTTTACTTGTTAGCATCAAAATACTGCAGATGATTCAGACAGGATCAATGAATGAAAATAACTCAAGATAATGCAATAAATATTCCTGCCATCGTGTCTTTTGTTTAATTCTGTGATGGATTATGGTTTTATTTTGTCAAATAGTTGTTGATTATGATGGACGAGAACGACACGTTGGAATTTTTCTATCATTGGGAGTTGGAACGGCCCACTTGAGATCCAAGCTTTCATATCTTTATCAACTGTTGGATTGAGATGTAGTTTATTCTGTTACTGGACATGAATTCATAGGCGGCGGCAAGGTGGTGCCCATGGCATTGGCTAAGATGGTAACAGATCTGTCTTCTATGTTGAAGTTTGGGCTTCCCCTAAAAGCAGGTTATTGGGCGTGAGAGCTGGTTCATGCTCAGTCCATGTGGTGCACCTGTTGCCCAGGGAGATGACAGTAACAATCCAGAAAGATTAAACCTCATTTTTTATTGTCCCATGTTTTGATACTAAAATAAGAAACAAAAGTGAGAGTGGAAGTGGTTAAACATGTTTGCAGTGCCAGTATTACCTCCCTGTTGTTGCCCCCTCAAGTATGTTTTTTTTTTTTTTTTTTTTTCAAGCACACAAGTGTGGGGGGTATCGTATTGACTTTTGGATTTTTTTTTTATGTGTGTTGAAGTGATTTGGGGGTGTGCTTGTTCTTATTGATCTTGTTTTTTTAGGAAGTTTCTGGAAATCCTTTTAAGATTATGCTTTATCGAATTTATGGACTAAAATCGAACTGTTTCAATGTGTAAACTAAATAAAGTTCAGTACCATGATTTGCTTCCATTCTAATGAGGTCTCCTTTCTGTCTATAACCTCTAAATGTTTTATGGATCAAAGCAAGTAGAGGTACGTAGTTCAAATTGTATAACATAATTCGCATTTTGGAACCTGGTATTCCTCTTTCTCAATTATTCTTAAGTTGAACCAAACGACTTAAATAGAATTTTGAGCGTATTTTGTGTTTTACTATTTGACCCCTTAAATTTTGTTTGCTATACATATATATATTTATTAGGCTGCGAGCAACAATAAAGCGCACAACTACACGCCAAGAGCCCGTGCTGGTAGCGTTGAATTTGGGAACACGTTAGCACGTTCCAACTACGGCTCTATTGACGTGAAGTCAATATTTGTTTATTTATTTTTATTTTCAAGATATTTTAAAAATTCAGATTAATGTTTTATTATTTTATCAGATGCATAATATGGATATAATTATTTAAAGATTTATATATATATATATATATATATATATATATGAATCATCACATTTAAAAGCTTGAGTTTATAGATGAGATCATATAATATAATTTATAATAGTCTCTATCACACTCTCTCAAGTGAAAAACTTAACGTTTAGGCTCAAACTCGCATGCGCCTATATCGCTTTCGCTTAATACTTGAGAAATTAGAGATGATGAGACTTGAATTTAAGAATAAAGCTTTGATACCATATTAAACGACCATCTCATCCAAAAGCTTAAGCTTATAAGTGAACTTTCATAATACAATTTATAATAACCTCTAACAGTATATACAAAAACTTAAATTCGATATTACTTACTTAATCGATTAGAAGCATTTTCATTCAAATTAGTTCAAATTAACCATATATATATATATATATATATGTTGATATGTTAATTATTGCGTATGAACATATTTATCCGCGCGGACATCATGATGCGTTCAGCGTGAGCACTATAGTGCCACACAAATACGAAATGCAAATTCTTTTTTTGGATGTTAAGAATAAGACTCTAATCCGAGATATTGCTCCTTCTCTTTTGTTAGAGTATCACTGAACTAACACGTACTTACACTTGTAATTAAACAACTGATCATAAGTTTCTTAAACTCAAAATAATTGTTTTATTTCAGACAAGATTTTGCATGTTGGTGTGTAATTAAACTCAGGGACAAACTTTGTTCTACAATTTGAAGCTCCTAACTGAGGTTGACAAAAATGGAGGTCTTATGAGTCTTTAATGTGGAATTCGTCACGAGATCACTTGTTTCACATGTATGCCAAAGTATGTTAAAAATACAAAAATGTCTACCGAAGTAGCATTTCTTTTAAAAAGATTTATTATAAAGCACATAACTTTACTCTGTGTGAGAAAGATTTGAAAGAGATCATGCACGATTACAAATTAACATCACATTCTCCTTGAGGACAAATTGAGGACGACTTTTTAGCTTCTGCAACATGCAGCCAACTTGAAATATTTGAGCTTCAAAAACAACAGGAAAATGGCTGTTTAATTTCATGCTTTTAGAATAGTTGGACAAGAAAGACTTCCCTCTTCTTAAAACCATTGCAGTTGGAAGGAATCATAGCATGGTGTCTTGCAGCTCATAAAACAATCTCTCCTTCACAGTTTCCCTGCAAAACACACAAAAACAGATTCAAGTCAGACCATTGCACGAATGAACAGAAGGATGATAGAGTTAGACAAAACCAATTAATAAAGCCATAGAGTTCCATTTTCTGCATTTTAAACAATGAAATGATGTAGATTGCTAAAATCCATGCTATTGATAAATATGTGCTTAACCAGGAGCTCCCTTCAGTCCAATGGGCGAGCAAAGCATGCGGAAGGAGTTGCTCCCACTCCATGCACCTGGCCAAGCTTAACCTCTTTGCCAAATGTTAAGCATTGCCTAAATGCATGACATGGCAGCTCTATCCGCTTCCCAGCCCTCCATATTGGACTAAAGGGAGCACTTTAGCCCCTACATATACGTGTAAAGAACATCCCTCCTCTAGCTAGACATCTCTTTCTCTTGATAGAGAGATGGAATGGAAAGTACTAGCTACAAGGTTCTTTACTCTTCTATTTCCTTGAATCTAGTTCGCAATAGATGCCTATTTATACAAGAACACAGCGGTCTAGCTAGTTCCCTTGGATAAGAACGTGATTTGTTGGAAGCTGGAATCTTTTTTTTTTTTTTTTTTGGGCACAAAATGCATATGAGAGTACAAACGTGCTCCATGATTAATGCTTCTCTAGTACAGACTAGCTTTACATCATGCTGATGAATGAATATGTTTGCCGGTTTGTTTTTGTTTAACTTTATTTTTGTTGCTTGGTTGTTGTTGTTTTGTGTGAGTGTTCCGTCTTCATTTGTTTTAACATGGAATGAGTCAATGTTTAGAGGAAGTAATGCATATTGATAGAAGAAATTGCATGATTAGACTCCTTCATTCTACCATATCAAAGTTAATGTTGTGTAGGGCAAATGTAATAACTCTTTTTTCCTATGAAATTCAATGTGCAACAATATTAATTATCATATTCCTAGGAATTGTGTGTATTCTAACTACACTAATTGATCTAAAATTTCCATTCAAGCTTTCATTTTGTATATATGACTTTTTGATCAATATATGGTAGTATCAAAACGAGAAGGCAAAAACTTAGGTTGTCAATTAAAAAACATAAAGGAATAAAATTTCCATGTCTATTTTAAAGTGCTTAGTTAAAATAAATAAATAGAATAAAAATGAAAATAAAATAAAATAAAAATAAAAATAAAAATTTAATATATTCTTATTCTTATAGTGAAGGTAAGAAAAAAAAAAAAAGACAAATCTTGTTGATAATAGCTAATTAACACTTAACAAATTTAGAGATTTTTTTTTAAGAATTATATATTATTATTATTTATTGAATAGCATTTATTTCCGCCACCGCTATCTCTCTTATGGCCACTCGCCATCACTACCAACAATAATAATGATTCGCAACATAGATTTTTTTTTCAAAAAATTATAGTAATAATAATAATAATTTATTATCATCACAAATATTAGATTTTTATTTTTTTAAACCTACACATCCAAGATTTTTAGCAGAACTAGTATGCTAAGATTTGAACACATGATCTCTTGTTGCAAGAGATCACTATCACTAGGCTACAAGTTTTTTGATATCACAAATATTAGATTAAATGAGCTAGACATCTCCTAAATTAATTTATTTAAAAATCAATAATTGAATTTTTAATTTTGGATTTGACCTCTCCCGAACTTTACTTTACTTTTTTTTTTTTTTTTTTGAGATTTAATCCACCCTATGATTTACAGCCTATCATTCCATCCTCTAAAAAAATTCAATTCTTTGTATTTTGAATTATTCTTTTGCACATATGTTGAAAAAAATCCAATCTATTTTTTTTTTTTTGAAAACTCTTCAGAATTTTTCAAGTATATATATATATATATATATATATATATTAAAAATGTAAAAAAATAGAAATAACCTCGAAAATGATTTCAAATTTTTTGAAAACCCCGGATAAATCTTACTAGATAATTCTTTTTTCTTAAGAAATTCAATGTGAAACAATATTGTATTAATTATCATATTCCTAGCAATTGTGTATATTTGTAACTCGCACTAATTGATCTCAAATTTCTGTTCAAGCTTTCATTTTGTATATATGACTTGATTTTGATCTATATATGCTAGTATCTAAAACTAGGAGGTGAAAACTTAGGTTGTCAACGAAAATGTAAAAAAGAAATAAAATTTTCATTCCTATTTTGAAGTGTTTAGTTAAAAGAAATAAATAAAAATAAAGAATAAGAATGAAAATGAAAATAAAAATAAAAATATAATATATTTATATTCTTAGAGTGAAGGTAGGAATAAAAACAAGTCTTTTAGCAATAGCCGATCAAGACTTAACAAATTTAGAGTTTTTTTTTTCAAGAACGATATATTATTATTGCCATCATTATCGACAATAATAGTGATTGGAGGTATAGATTTTTCAAAAGAGAATATATATATATATATATATATATATATATATATATATATATATATATATATATATATCATCATCATCATCATCATCATCATCATTGTATATATTTGGTTAAATGGGCCAAACTTTCCCTAAAATTTAGTTCATTTGAAAACACTAAATTTCTAATTTCAAGTTTGATCTCTCCCGAACTTTTTTTTTTTTTTTTTTTTTGAGATTTAGTCTATCATATGATTTTCAGTTATCACTCTCTCCTTTAGAAAATTCAATTTTTGGTATTTTGAACTAACCATTTGTACATAAGTTGGGAAGAATACAATTCATTTACAAAAAATCCCAAAATTTTCAAGATCGAAAAGAATATATATATATATATATATATATATATATATATTAAAAATATAAAAATTGGAGAAAAATAAAAAATACTCTTGGAATGATCCGAATTTTTTTTAGGAGTTTTAGATAAATCTTACTAAATGATTTCTATCATAGAATTAGCAATTATTTCTAATAGAAGTAAAATGATACTAGATTTGTGAAGATATATAATCAATCCATCATTAAACTTTAAAAGCCACAACTTGTTCAATAAAAATAATCTAGTTTTAGTTGATTTTGGCAAAATTGAAAATCCTACTAGAACTTAAGCATACAATCAACAAAAGTAACCTTATTTTTGACTGATTTTAGCAAGATTAAAAATCTCAGTACAACTTTAGGTAATCATGATCAATAGTACCACCTTGAGCGATCAATTCAAGTATATAACAAGCACGAACTTTAAGCAAAGAACGAGAGCACAAAAATTGGAAGAAAACCCTCACAAAGTTTTATTCAATCAATAATCAAAAATTTTTTATCCATATTACATAAGTATGCTTAAATACCAATCAAAATATTCAATCAAAATATTCAGCTAACTAGAAAAAAATAATACCCTAACTTATTTAGACTCAATAACTTTAATCCAATCTAAGTTGAATAAAGACTAGTTAATTTAGTCCAATTCTAAACAAATATGGATTTTAAAATAAAATCCCACATAAATAGGAATAGTAAATTGAAAAAGAATCTCAAATAGAAAAGAAAAAAAAATTCTTAAGAAAATAAAACACCTAATTATTAATAATAAAATAAATAAATAAATAAAAACTTGAAATTTTTTGCCTAAACATTCGGCCCTCATGGATTCAACTCTCATGGGTGCAATTATATGTCATAAAGTATGGACTAAATCTAAAATAAAGTTCAATAGATATGAAACTCGAAATTAAAAATTCGGAGACTAATTTTCAAATAGATTAAGGTTCAAAATATGTTTGATCTATTTTGCTTAAATATTATAATACAAACTCTTATCGTGGTTACCATCATTACTTGTTACTACCATAAGTTTATAACCATTGTTATCACCATAATTGTTTTCACTATTCTCCACTACTATTATATTATAGATTGTGTTTTTAATTATTATTTATTTTCATAGTAAAAAATAAATATGAAAATTTTTATTTTTCATTACAATTCCTAGTTTTGATTCCAAACATAGTATTTAAATTAAAAAAAATATTATAATTTCTTATTTTATTTTTTTATTCTCATTTTGAACCTTTGACTCATATATATATATATATATATATATATATAAAATAAAGTGTTGGTTAATATAATGAGTGGTAGACTATTCATACTATGGAATGTGGGGTCAATTGACTCCATTTAATCTTACATTTGATACATAATTATATGATTGTTTTTCTAAATTGGCCCACTAGAATAATACCAAAAGTAAATAAATAAATAAGATCAAATATGTAAATAAATTGTACAACTAAACAAGAAAAAAAGAAGATAAAATAAATAAATTTGAAAGCGAGTTATGTTAAGAGTAAGTTGAGTTAAAATACAAATGCTTATAGAGAAAATAAGAATTGGGAGTTGGAGTGTAGATACTTGCCAAATATATATTTGCTATATGTTGGGAAATTAAGGATCGAAATTCTAAAACACACCATGATGAAAAATCCAATGACTAATAATAATAATAAACAACAAGATGAATAAAGATTGGACACACAAGATTTGACATGGTTCATCAAAATTCTGTATATTCTACGAATTCAAAAGTAACCCTTCTTTATTATGAGAGAAAATTAGTACAAAAATATAATTGTGGTTTTTATACTCAAAACGCAATCCTAATTCCAAAACTCCTTGTACATTCACTCTCATACTCAAAGAAAACCTCTTAACCTTTGTGTTTTACATACTTGTAAACTACTAATCTTCTCACTTATTTACAATGAAAGAAGAAGAAGAAGAAAACTCGAGTGGAAAAGAAAGGAAGAAACTCGGGTAACCAAATTTATAAAGTTTGGAGGCTACTCCTCTTTTCTTTGATCTCACACTCTAAATGAACAAACCTCTCAATCTTTTTATTTTTTTACACTCTAAAGCCACTCATCTTCTCACCTATTTATAATGAACAAAAACCTTCGTGGACGAGAAAAGAATAAACTTGGTGACCAGATTTATAACGTTTGGTGGCTACTTCACTCTTTTTTGATCTCCAGTCCATCTAAGGAAATAAAAAGCTATATCCCCAACAAATCTCCACCTTGGCACATTTGTAGCCTCTTGGAAGATTTATTAACTCTATCTACTTGCAAAAACCGCATATAGACAAGTAAAAATAACCATTGGCCTTAAAATTATCCGAATCGACAAACAATTATGAACTCCACTTAATTAAAAAACTCGACCAATGCTTTTTGTGCAATTGTCCTCCTCATTCAACTTTGCTTGTTATCTTCCGAAAAGATCCTCGATCCATCTTCTTTTTTAGTAGGATCTTTCTCCTTACACTCGTTTGAAACCCGAGAATGCATAATTTCTAT